GGGTTGTGGTTTCTTCTCCACTGTTAGGCATTCTATGTTTGTCGAATGATCCCACAACCAAGCTATGGGAACATGCTACCAACCTTTATACAGCTGTTTTGCAGTTCACTCTATATATCTATATATACTGGCCAATAGCTCTCTCAAACCTCTCCGCATGCCGCTCCCGTGAACAGTGAGACAAACCAAGATGAGGGGAGAAAAAAGGCGTGATTTGTGTTTGCATGTGCTTGCACCGTTTTGCTCCTGCAGAAACCATTCATTTGTGTGGATCTTGTTGGGTTTCACGCTATTGCATCTTCAGAACGCATGCATGTGCGCTTTGGGTGAATGATGACAAACTGAAGCTAATACAGACACTCCATGAACCAACTACATGAACATCCCTCCCCTGAAAATTAGAATTGCCTGCCAGTATTGATGATTAGGTGGCCCACACCTGGCACTTAGAATGCGTTCTAAGGCAAAAACTCAAAAACCCTCAAAAATGCAGGTTCGCGGGTACTTTCAAAATGGGCATGCTAAGTTTGCCTGAAAAATTTTGGAAAAATGGCAGGCATTCTAACTTTCAGGGGAGGGATATAGACCTCAGAAACCTGTGCCGTCGCTTGGGAAGTGGCGGTGGAAGCGAAATTGTGCTCAGAAAAGCAGCGCCATGGTCAGGTGTGTCGAAGGGTTTGCGGCTAAAGGCTAAAGGTGTTCGTTCTGTGTCTGGGTCAGCCCTGAGAATAACCTTTGCTTGTGCGGCAACTGTTTGTGAGACTTGGTGCCTCCGCCCTCAAACGCGAGATTCGTGTATGGAGGGAGAGGGCCTCCCGAAGGAAGCCAGCAAAGCACAAAGTTGTTTCGACAATACCTTATATAGTTATATAGATATATATATATATATAGTAATATCAATATTGATAATTGTGTGTACATATAATTGTGTATGCGGCTGAGTTTTCGATAGCGAAGCCACATGGAGCCAGATTCTGAACCATTTGATCCCTTTGAGGCAGATTTTTTCAGACATATGCAGAAAATCTCATTGTGTGGAACTTTATGTTTTCGTGCTCCTTTTCTGTTTGGTCTTGCGCTAGGTGGCAGTGGCTCCCAGCCGGACTTCGACTTCAGCTTCAGCGCACGTCAGGTGGCAGGAGCAGGTGTGCAGTACAACTACAACTGTTTCTTCGTTGAGTCTGAAGCAATTCCCACATTGGAAACTGCCAGGAACCAACCCCGGATGATTGTGGCTTTGTCGACCCTCTGGATTTTATCAGCTCTGAGGCAGGTTCGTAGGGGTTGTGTGAAGAAGAGTTTGAACTGCACGCAGGTTTTTGATTGTTGGACTGGCAGGCGGTGGCCCCCTCTGTGAATGCCAGTCACCAGGAGATGGAGGCTGCTGCTGGCAGCCAAATGCCTGATGCTGACGATGTTTCTTCTGTTTGTTTCTGCTGACTCTTTTGAATTTGCAGTGCTTGTGCTGCAGCGGTGCGTTGGAGGTCCTGAAGCAGTTGGAGGGCATGCTGCGGGTCGCAGAAGAGAGGTGTCTTGAAGACGTTCGGGAAACTCTGCAGGCTAGCTAGCGGACGATCAGCTGTTTGTGAGGGGTGAGAGTGAGCGGTGTGTGGGCAAGTTGTTTGTCGGCAGCTCCCTATGAGGCGCGCGTGAACTACCTCGAGCTGAGCTGCCACTCCGTTTCTGATTGTGAGCAGCAGCAGTGTGAAGGCCCGGGTACAGAGTGTTTGCAATCATTCATTCACACCATTCTTCGTTGGAAGGCCTTAGCTTCTTACCAGGTGCGGTGACTGTGAAGCCATCTCACCGACTTCGTGAGAAGACTCCACCAGCCAGAGTCAGACAGAGAAGAACCATGTTGGATTCGGATTTGGATGTTGTTGTAGGGCGCCCAGGCTGAGATCAGGCCACCTTGGGTAACACGTCAGTCGCCCCGAGGTCAAGCCTGATGAAACTCCGAAGATTGGCTGGGTTGCCAATCTTCTCACTCTTGTGGGCGGTATGATGAAAAGCAATCTTGATGTTTTCCGCTCCATGGGCCGAAGCCTGTCCTACGGCAGTGATTGCAGTGGTCTTGATGCTCCACTGTTTGCTTTGAAACAGATTGCGCAGGAATGCAAGGCGTGGGAGGGTTTACTGCTAGTGTCCCCTTGAAGTGGTTGAGGAATTTGACCCGGTCAGGTAGACGTTGACTACAAATTTGCATCTGAAGCGCCCGGACGGCTGGGCGAGTACCAGAAGAAAATGCTGTGTCTAAACTATCAGCCTGATGTTATTTTTGATGACATGTTGGTCAGAGGCCTACTTCACCCTGAATTCTGCAAGGTGTTTGGAAGTTGATCAGTTGATTGTTTAAACCACACGCTTTTTCGAGCTGGTTTGTGCTGAGGCACGTGGCAAAACGGGGTTGGACTGGATCACAAAAAAGTCTGGAGTCCAAACACCCTCTGTTCTGGTCTACACTGGCGGCTTCGAATGCCAGGATAAAAGTCGTTGAAGTGTTGGGGGGTTGACTCCTCGTTGAGCTTCATTCCCAGTCTTTTCCTCACTGTGAGGACTTGAGCAACATGAACAACTCGAGGAAGCCACTAGATCTGGACATCCACTCTGAGTGCAAGCCTTGGGCTGACTGGAACCAGCGTCAGCGGCCTTGTGAAAGCTTAGGTCAGGTATGAGCTCCAAAACTTTGCACAAGAGCTTGGAATACATTAGAACCCACCGCCCTGTCTGCGGCTCAGCGCCTCAGCGTAGCTTAAGGTGGCTCAAGAGCCTCTCAATTACACGTTCTCAGGCCTATGTGGTCCTTGAGAATGTGGCCAAACGGGGAACAGATGTTCTCCTGTCAAGGGAGCTCACACAGCTCTCTTACACTGTCCAGGGGTATCTGATAAATTCGGCAGCCTTTGGTGTTCCTCAATCACGTTCAAGGTTGTACATGCTTGCAGTCGACCCCTTGCAACTTGATGTGCTTCATGGACCAGAACAATGGACAGTGTGGTTGCAGGTCAGGCTGGCAAAGTGAAAGTCAAAGTTCATTTTTTGGGGTGGTGAGTCTCAGCCTGGCTTTCTCACAGCCAGGAACTCGCCAACATGTCAGAGCGAGCCGGGTTCACAGGCTTGACAAGTGTTCTGTCCAGCGCTGCCCAACTTCTAGCCTCTCTGCCAGGACTGATGCTGCCTGACGAAGACCCCCGAGTGCAAGATTTCCTTTCCAACATCCAGCTCAAGCGACGGCTGAAGTCAGATGATGCGATCTTGGAGAGTTTGAAGTCTGGTGCAACCTGGCCTGTTTGCCACGGCAAACACACGGAGGCAAGAGCGCATATTTCGCACACTTATAGGCCCGTTTCCTGGCTTTTTTGATACTTTTTTTGGGCGTGTTCTGCTTCTGCACCATGTCTGACCTTTTTTTCATCTGGTCTCGAGTTGGTGTTGGCTGTTGTCCCTAGGTTCCTCGCTCAGAGGATTTGTTCGAGAAATATGCCTCTGACATCAGTAAATGCTTGCCTGCACGTGAGCAAGACATTCTCCATTTGCACAAATGGGTGTGCCCTGGCAACAAGTCAGATTTGCACCTGCAGCGTTGGGAACACTCGCAAAGGAGTGAGGGCAGGGGTGGTAAAGGCGTAGTCATGGTCTAGTCTAGTGACAAAGTCTCCAACTGATACCTGCGCAGTATTCTGGCGAGTGCACCAAGGTTGGAGGAGCATATGCAGGAGAAGGGCGCGCAAGGTTTTCCCCCTTTCATTTGGGACCTTACCAACGGAATCCAGTACGGCTGCTGGAAGTCCAGTGCATACACCGATTTGCTCCCTTGTTTGTTGAGAGGGCACAGATACTATCACCTTGGCAGCTCAGAGTCAAAGATCAAAATTGAGTTAGTTGTTTTTTTGTGTGTCGTGATCCTGGTCCTGACTGTGCTAGAATTGCAGAGCGAGGCCGGGAGCGTCCTCTTCTTGGCTTGGAATTGCTTCGGGGACAAGGTTTTACGTCCCTGGTGACCGAAGGCACTATTGGCGATGGAGATCAGGTGAATGTGCCCGTTGCTTCGCTTGAACATTTTCCAGATCAGTGCACATTGGGATTCACTTTTCTGACGTTTTGTCCGATGGCAATGCAATGCCTCTGTCTCAGGACATTGAATTGAACAAATTGGCCGGCAACACCATCTCGGTGCCGGTTGTCGGTTCGCTCCTGGGAATTTTGATGTCCAGCACAAGGCTGAAGAGCGTTGGGAACATTGGATTTCCAAAGCCGAAGGCAGGCTGCGCCAAAGCCAGCCCGGCAGTGTGGATCGGGGATAGTCGGGCAGCTGCCGGTACAGGAAGCAAATTGGACATTTTGATGCCCAAAAGCCAAGGCAGCCAAGGTCTGAAAAGGACCCCAGCCGGTTGCCCACGCATGGTACAGACGAAACTGAAGTTTCGGAAGCTGTCCTGAGTGGGGAAAAGGGAGGTCGAACTTTGGGGCAGTTGACACTTTTGTCAGAGGTTTGTCGTTTCTCTCGGAATTAACAAAAAATTAACTTTTTTTAGATTTTTTGCGTTTTTCGATGTTTTTGTGTTTTTGTAGAAAAGTTGTTTTTTTTTAGTTTTCCTAATTTTCCTAATTTTCATTGAATTTGTAGAAAACGTACTTTTTCTACGTTTTCCGGAATTCTTGAAAATCTTGAAAAGTTAGGTTTTTTTAAACTTTCCTACTTTCCAGGGATTCTTGTCCGCGGAACAGTCACCGGCCTAAACGATATTCCTAAAGGAGTTCCCTGTTCCAAGCAATTTGGAGCATAGCAATCCACAGCCAGGATTTGCTGTGAGGGGCGGCTTTTTTTGGTTGACATGGCCTCCTTTTCCTTCAAGGATGCTTATGGGTTGACACATGTTGACACTTCGAATTCGCTTCCCATTTCTCACTCAGAGTCCTTGCGCCCCGAGCTTGGGTGCAGCATGCTGCCGCCAAGCTTCGCATCATCCGGTCGATGACCAGAAGCTCATTCGGCTGAGGTGGCTTTGGAATCCGAAACTTCCTCACGCTCTTCCTCTCCATTGAGGTTGAGAGTTGAGACTGCATGGTTGAATGGTTTTGGCATGCTTTTGATGTATCCAAACCCAGACACCCCATGTATGGCATACATGCCTACATTGACAATGCACCAGCTGGGACGTGAATGATAGAGCACAGGGTTTAGATTTCAGTTATTTAATATATATGACATCCCTTGATCCAAAAGTCTAGGTCAGTGTGTTTGGTGGTGGAAGGGGCATGAAGGGGCTCGGGGCTACCATGGTGGACCTACCTATCGCCAACTCAAGAGACGATGTCTCGACAGTGGAAAGCCACTGGTGGCCCACTTCTAGATCGCCTTAAAGGTAACTTCGAAAAGTGGGGAATGAAGAGAATTCGACACCCGGAGTATGTGGCGGCTGTCTACACGCGTGCCGTCCAGACAGCGGGAGGTGTCAAAGGCCACGAAAGCTCGGGCTGAAGCCGAAGCAGCTGGAAAGCCTCAGCTGGCCAGGCAGGGTGTGCGACATTTTGCCAGCGCGGGGCTGAGCGGAAGTTTCGGGGTCTAACACGGCTGCTGAGCGTCCCGGCGTTTTTCACTGTCATCTCCAACCCATCGGAGGGAACAAAACAGAAGAAACCCGCAAGTGACGCATCCCACGTTCCGCGGATCACACGAACCTGCGGTTTGGTACGGTGCCAGGTACTACGGTAGCATGGTCGACGCCTTCACTTCGCAACTGGAAGAGTCCAATCCAGTGCCGCTTGACTGCAAGTGGCGTGGGGAGTCGCGTGCAAGCTTGGTCCACTGGATCAAGCTGGGTGGGTGGGAAGGAGGGGAAGTAGAGCATGCATAAGGCCAGCAATCAAAGATGTTCCCACAAAAGAATCACCTCGACAACCTTTTCCCTCTCCCTAGGGGTTTCTCCATTTTCTATCCATGTTTCATCCTTTTTTGGGGATCCCATCCACCCCCCAACAAACCCACCAAAACTGAGTCACCCAGAGAATGAACGTGGGCCACCGGGCCCTCGCGCCGGCTTGTACTCGCGTCGCACGGCTCTCAGGCTCACGGCCATCTCCGACGCGATGACGGCCGAGGGGGAGGCACTGGAGCAGAACGACCGGCCCAGCGCCCAGCGCTATGCCGAGGACCGCGGACCGCGACGGAAGGCGTGAACCGTTCCAGCGCGGACGGGACGCGAGTCGACGGCCAGTGGAAGTTGGAATCCGCTGTCTGACTCCACCGGCGAAGAAGGCTGTAAGCCTGAATCCCGAACACCATCGAACCAACCAGATTGATTTTGCACCACGAAACCCAACCAGCACAATAGTCTTAAGAGGCTGGGTTCCCCAAGTCATCTCCACCTTTTGGGCGTCCTGCCGGGTTGCGACTGGCGCCCGGGTCCTCGACTCTGTGCCGTGCTTTGGGAGGAGAAGGCGAAAGGCCAAGATCGGCTACAAGAGATCAGCGGACTCTTGGCCTTGTCCCGGAGGAGTTACTTCAAGTGGTGGGACCCCAAGGACCCCCAGTCGTACCTCCTGAGAAGGGGGGGTGACTGGACCCTCCAAATCGAAGCGAAACGAAGCTACGGCTGGAGCCCTAGGGCTTGACTCTGAAAGAATCAACTATTGTTTCTTCTTGGCTGGGTCCTTGAGTTTGGCAAGGCAAGGCACCTTCGATGAACATGTCTTAGGTTCCCAGGGTCAAACAAGGCCAAATATATATCTCACAACATGGTTTGTTACAAGCTCATTTGGCTAAGCATGGCTAAGCCATCCTGAAGAACTGGCGATCCCCCCTTCAGTGGCTTCTGGACACCTGGCGCGCGTTTCTTGAAAGCAAAGGATCCCTCCAAACAGGCCCCAGGCCGAAGTGAACAATCCTCCTCGGCGTTCTCATGAATTGGTCATGTTATACATGTTATTATGCCCTAACGTTGAAGGTGTAAAAACATAGACAAGGCATTGCACTGATCTATTGAGCCTGTAAGCCTTGCTTCCTTGCTTCAGTAGTTCAGCAGGTAGGCCAGTTTTAACGCTACGTACTTCGGCAGGGCAGGGGTGAACCAACCCGTTGCACCGGGGTACAGCAGCTTGAGGCAAGTACAAGCAGCTCATGCGACGATTACGGGAAGAAATGCCTGAGATGGCCTGACAGGCAGGGCAAAGCATGTGCATTGGCCGCTCAGGGACGGCTGGCCCACGGGTATTTCCATACATTTTGCGGGGTTAGTAAGAAGGGAAATGGAGCAAAAACCAATGCGAGGTTCGTTTGTTTTTTTGATGGATATGCCATGTTCGTCAGCTTTTTTCTAGCATGCTAGGGTGAATTTTGACCGTCTAAGCGAGTCAGCGTTCGCCATAACTCTTCTGCTGAGGAACTTCTGGGTGTTTTCTCTGGGTTGGTTATTGTAAAGAGTGAACTCTGTGCAGAACCCCCCATGCTTACGTGGCACTTCGCATGCCTCAAGAGCAACCAAGAAGAAGTCACTAGAGAGCTGACAAATAGGATAGAACAATAAAAAGGAATGCTGAATTTGGCTTTGCCTGTGAGTGAAATCCCTCCATCAAAGCATTGGGCAAAACTCAGTCACTTTATTAGATTGACGCTCTATGTTTGATATACGTATCCCTATATGCATACTTAGTCGTGAGCGATGTTCTGGAACCAAACTCCTTGACCCATGATGGATGGCATCGATCGGGCGCCAGGTGAATTCATGGTTGCCCAAGCCCTGGCACCCTCCACTGCCGGTTGGGCTGTGAGAGGAGGCTTTGGGCGACCGGATCTCATTTAGAGGCGCTTGCGCTCGGTGAACCTCCCGGGCGCTGGCGCTCGGTGGAACCCCACGGGGCGCCCCAGAGACTTTTGAACGTCCAGACCGCTGACGGGGCCCGTTGGCGTCGCTCGTGCCATTTGACGCGGACACCGTCGGGGCCCCGGACCCGGACCCTCGCAGGTTTCAAGACGCGACGCGACGCTGACTGCGATGCGCGTGGGACATGGGACGTGCACCGGGGGGGGCCGACGTATATCATGAGGTGCAAGAAAAGCGAGCCGAAGAGGTGGCTCATGATCTAGACTCGTGACTGTAGATGAATATAATATATATATATATATATGAAAGAGGAATGAAGAGGTTTTCCATGGCCTTACATTCCAGGATGGCCTGCCAGAAGCTGTCGGTTTTCTATCAGTCATTGACTCAGCAGCTCCGGGAGATGATCCCGACCGACCGAATCTGCGTCCACAGCAGCAGCCCTTTGCATAGGTTTTAACAAGACCACCGTGCCAGCCATCGTGCCACATCTCGCCAGCCACGACCACCACCCCACCGCCCCACCACATCCCACTACATCCGTACCGAAGAGAGGCAGCGGAGGCCACCGCGCGGCGCTCTTCGGCCAAACCCACCAGGCTTCTCCGACGGCGATCGTGGTGATCATGGGCGAAAACCCTAGGATTGGTGGCTCCAGTGTTTTTTCATGGGTTGAATACCGAACAACCATCGGTTTTGCTAAGGATTTGAGACGAAACCAGGTCGGGGCCATTTTTATAAAGAGTCTTGAAAGGCTAGGGGATCATGTGGCCGACATGGCGCCTTTCGGCGCCATGTCGGCCACATGTGCATCGTTGACCCACATAATTCACATGGTGTTTCTTTCCTTTCGCTTCTCTGGGAGTGGTTTTGACCCACTCACATCATCTCACATCTACACTCCGACCCTGACGTCCTGGTCCCCTGGAAGATTGTTTTCCTCTACCAACCGACGTGGCTTTCAGGGTCCATGGGATCGTCTTCCAGGGTGTAGTTCTACGTTGCATGATGCCATCCTCAAAATCGGGCTCGTGGATGCGGTGGGTGGAACCGCAACTCGACCTGGCAGACTCGTAGATGGGTGGAACCGCACACCGGGCGCTGGCTCGACCACCGCGCGCTCCGTGAAGGCCGAAGGATGCTGAGGAGTTCTTCCAGCGTGTTGAGGCGGGCGTTCCACGGTGACGACGTGACGTTGAGGACAGTGGCCAACGCCGGTGTGGCGGTGGGCTGGGGAGGACAGTGGCGGAGGGATGCGGGTGGCCGGCGGGTTGAGGTGTCCAAAAAGCACTGGACTTCATTAGGACCGTGGAGGTGACACGAAGGTCTTTGGGTGACCCAGGTGTGCTTTTGCGTGCGGCGCTGGGAGACTCCTTTTTGAGTCGCATTCAGCTGTGGATCCTTCGGAGTCCTTCGGAACTAAGTGCTTTCAGGGGGAAAGGTGGTGCAAAACCGTCCCGTTTGGGCTGAAGAGCCCTGTCCTTCTCTCCTAGATCGGATGCCAGTGACACCGGTGAGCCCTGCAGACCGTCCCTGCAGACAGTCCCATGGACCAGGACATTAGAAGACCAGGAATTCCTCTCTACCTCTCTACAACCCAGTGGTTTTAAGATGTTTTAAGAGTCATTTGCAGGAGGGTGCATGTTCCATGTTTGTTAGTTCGCTTTTCCTACGCGCCTACTCCGCGCCGCGCCTGTTTTGATGCCCAAGTGTCCCACCGGCGTGGCGGGGCGCACCATTGCCAGCGCATGTCCGTGGATGCCGATCTAGAGAGGCCGCCGTTCACTTGGATGCGAATCAGGTGGACTCCAAGTGGAGCTTTTTGGGAGAGACGTTGTCCCACTAACTGGAGGAGACACCCCCAGTAAACCTGCAAGGATGTCGGTAAGCAAGAACATAACCTTTTTGGGGGGATGGAAAAGCCTGCAGCCTAACCGTTACCTAACCATCATCATCATCATCATCATCATCATCATCATCATCATCATCATCATCATCATCATCATCATCATCATCCACTGGGCTGTGGGTGTTTGGGATGCACAGTATGCTTGGTATGTGTCTTCCAAGTCTCTTTGGTCATTTCAGGTTTGGGATATGATGGGACTGGGCACAAGCTCGGTCCTCCTTTCTCAAGGCGTTCCATAATCTTTTTTCAACCCCCACAAGTGACCAAATGATACCCAACCTAAGGAAAATCAAGGCTCCCTCCTGACGCAGATGCCTTGCAGATGCTCTTTCTTTGGGGGCCTAGAGAAGGGGGCCCCTGTCTCGGAGCTCGGAAGGTGAGTCAGTATGACTTGTTGTGCCACAAAAGAGCATCTTGTCGTTGCAAGAGGTCAGGTCTATCAATGGCCCTGTTCTTGCATCTGGTGCGTGCTCAAAACATGCATGCAGCGTGCTCGGAGGCGTTCCGGAGGCGAACGAAGAGCGTCCACACCAACCAAATATCGGTCATCAGCCAGAACTGCTTGACACGTATTGTGATCCGCTGTATGAGAACAAGAAGAAGAACATCAAAAGAAGACGAAGAAGAACATATCAGGAACATACCAGCACCCTCCAACAGGTCACCAATTCAGACCTCCAACAGGGCCCTTCTCAACCTTCCTATCTCGGAGACGAGATCTGCAAGGTCATGTTGCTGGTGGAAGAACTCATTTGTGAAAGCAATCCCCGAGCCCCAGATTCACCCGTCCACCTCCGGCTCTTGGGGCTTTCAGTCTATGATCCACCTGATCTGGTGCAGACCAGCTGATCTGAGATGGAACCCCCAAAAACAGGCAAACGCCCGGACCAGCCACTCGATGACCTGAACTCTCTCCAGCCAAACGGGTGACTCTCCCCGTGCGCACTGCGCTTCGCCTCGTCGGTGCAGACCAGGCCGCGATGGCCATCCGCAGAGGTGGAGCGGGTTAGACGACGTCTGTCGTCGCGGCGGGTAGGACATGGCAGCGGGAAAGACCGGTCGGTGGTCCTTCAGGTAGGTTCACCATGGGTTTTTTGAGGTCCTGAAAATGGGTGTATATACCTTTCTTCATGCCTTTTTTCTTCATCCTTTGTGTTCATTCTGTTTTCATGTACCCAGCATGTACGCACCATTTGGTAAAACCTGTTTTTCATCCTGTTTTCATGTACCCAGCACCCGACGAACAAAACAGGTCTCCCAGCCTTGGTGGCTTCTTTTAGTCTTGGAAGACGCTGTGAAGTGGCAGGTGGTGGAGCTGTGAAGTGGGGTGCTGGCATGGATGTACTGATACCCAGACACTCCCGAAAGCTTGACCACACGGCGCAGAGAATATCATATTATCCAGTTGAAAACCTCTCTCCGTGACCAGGGCGGGGGAGGAGATTGCGGTGCCCCTTTTCGGCCATGTGAAGAAGTGTTTTCGCTCGCTTCGCCTCCAACCCTACACCCCCGGTCTCCGTAGTTTTTGCGATCAGGGTGGGGTGAGCTGGTGACCATTGGACCTGAACTGTCCAAATAAGAAAGACGTGTTCTCTTTAGGAACCAGTGTGGTCTTCAAGGCCGGCGAATCTTCAGGTAGTCCTCAACTCGTGGCCGCCCTGCTGACGCTTGGCGTGCTGAGCGCCTGGCGCTGGCACGCACTGGTGGTGCCATGGCAGGCGAATGGACTTGAGGAAACATGAGGTTACCAGGAGAGAGTTGGAAACATGGAAAGTTGCCCACCCTTTGGGTACAGCTAATTATGGCATATAGTAGGCATATAGGACATTATACAATATTACTACCGCCTCTTTTTGGACAACGCGACTACATACGGTATATACCAGGACCCTCTTGGAGGGGTCCACAATGAACTACCCCACACTACCTATAGGCTTCCAAACAGGGCACCCCGACAGGAGGGTCCTGGTATAAGTACTCAATCACTGTCACAGGCAGGGTCCCTCGGTCCTGCGGCGCCGGAGCCAGGAGGGTCGGTCCCGATGGAGCTCCGTTTGGACGCTGGGCCGGAAGCGAACGCGATCCCCACCGGGGAGGGGCGGGGTTCGCGGTTTGCGTGTTTCTTACTTTTGGGCATTTTGGGGTTGGAGGCCACTGGCAGTGCCACTGGCTTGAAGGCTGTAGAAAGAGCCTGATCAACATAGTTTCACACTCCCCTGGAGATGAGGTCGTGCACTTGGAGGGGAGCAGGCTGGTCAACCAGGTTCTGCTCCACCAGCAAACGGCTGTGGTTTTTCTTCTGTGGTTAACAGCCGTTTTGTTTTTTAATATACAGTCATGTAGCATGGATGCGCATGGATGCTTTGTCACCTGCAGAATTCGGGTTTCAGAGCATTAAGTGAGTCTTTGCGAACCCAAAAGGCTGGA